ACTTGCTCAGTAGACCAGGCTGGCCTCGAACTCACAGAGATCCACCTGCCTCTGCCTCCTGAGTTCTGGGATTAAAGGTGTGAGCCACCACTACTCAGTGAAGAATTTCATTTTACCTTTATTATTCCTTCTCTAAAGTGATTCTTTGCTATGCAGATGCATGTATCTTTTTTTTTTGTGTGTGTGTGTGTGTGTGGTGGTGTTTTTTGGGTATGTGTCCATTAACATATATGAAGGCCTGAGGCCAATGTGTGTGATCAACAGTTACTTTTCATTTTCTTTTGGAACCTGGAGCTCACTCACTTGACTACCTAGTGGACTCCAGCAACATAGAAAAAAGAAAAATAAAACAAAACAAAAAACAAAGTACTAAATTTTGAATTTAGTCTAGCAAATATACCTCCCAGGCAGTGGGCTCTTTCCTTCCACAGTGGAGGCCAGCACACTCCCAATACTCCATTTCCCTTGTCAGGCCAGCAGGTATGAACCCACATGCAGGACCTCAGGAAGCTGCCCGAGGAGGGATGTGGAGATGCCCAGTCTCCAGGGTCAAAGTGCCCTTTCCACTTTGGCAGCTCAGGAGTAGAGAATGACAGCTGCCTTGCTTACTGGTACAAAACCTGGGCTACAGTTTGCTATTTGGTGTGCATTCAGCAAAGAAGGGAAGATAAACCCTCAAGGAAAGGACAAATATGTTAAGGACTAAGTAAAAAACAGGAGAATGGTGCCAACTTTTGGGGAAATTCAGTTGAAAAGGAGATCTCAAAAGTCAAATTCCTGAGAGGTAGGAGGTAAGTTAGTAATAGTGCTGCTGTGGGCTTTCTTCTGTCTGTATCAAGACCCTTTTCTAAAATAAATGTTCTCTATTCTTTGGCACCTGCTTGTGGGTGACTCAATCTCTCAAAAACTGGACAAAAGGGATAATATAAATCCATATTATATAGCAAATTCCTTTAATTAACAGTGCCAGTGTAATAGCAAAAGTTTGATTTTAAAACAACATCTGCAAGCAGCTGCATTTTCACATAGTTCTCATTGCCACTTCTTTACTAAAATCAATGTTAATAACACAGGACCTAAATGGAACACTGCAGCAGCAATCCATTTAATAAGTTTAATAAAACCTGGTTCTTTGGTATTTTCAATGATCTTTTCTAAGTAAATAATTCTTAGTATTTTCCAAAGTTAATTTACTTTCTTGAGAATTCTCCAGAATATTTAAAAGTAAATGATTGAATCTATGAATAATTATTTGGCTGGGATAACGATAAATGTTTAAGAAACTACAATATGAAATCAAGAGAAATTTATAAAACCATGCAGCAAAGGCAAACACACTCCCTGTATAATGGGGCAAGTTCAGCATGCTTAAAACATTTCCTTGCAAAAACACAGATGCCCAGACTGGATTCCTCTTAGTCTTATGTGCTTAAATGCTCTTGTGACTTCTGCTGGCATTTTGCTTGCTCAAGACAAAGGTCCTGAGCTGGCCATCATCTGGAAGAGGGATACATTCCTATACATCTGCACGCATACATATATCTCAACCCCACACACCCCTGAAACAAAAAGAGAACCAGATACTACTTTAACACTTAAACCACCCCAAAGACAGTCAGAGAAACTTAAGAAAAGATAAGGGAAAGAAAGGGCTTCACATACCCTTTAAGTCACTCACTGTCAAGTCTTTCCTGAATGACTGACTGATGAAAGTAGGTGAAAAATGTAAGTCTGGTAATTTTTATTTCTTTTATATGATCAAAATTGTATTGTGTCGATATTTATGAAGATGGGGATGGACTTATTTGGAAATCAACTTAACAATGAAATAATGCTGCAAAGCACACTGTTTTTGTTTTTTGTTTTAAAGAAAAAGGCAGAGGTTCAATATAATGTTCTAAAGTGAGCAGACCCTCTCAGTCATGAGGGTTTTGTGCACTCATAGGAGCACATCCATGCTTCTTCTTCAATGTACCATTTTACAAATGCGGGTCATTATTAAGAGGGGGCGGATTCTGCCAGGCACGTAATTTGTATATTTAAAGGGGGTGTATGGAATGAAAAAGCGAAATATGTTAAATTTCAAAGGACTTGGAAGTAATGCTGCCTGTGAGCTTGTATTACAAATAGCCCCACATTATTACATAGGCTATTAATGAGGCCAAGTGAATGAAAGTACAATTTGAATATGCATGACTCTATCCAATGAGCAGGACTTTTGTGTACTGATGAGTTTTTTTTTCCCCTCCTAAAAAGGATTAAAATTATTCTTAGAGAAGTATGGCTGTCTAGAAACGAGTAAAATAAATGTATTTAGGCCAGAGTCACACTGTATACATATGAAATATACAGGTGCTAAAAGACTGCTGCTGACTCCACCTACAACTTCTGAAACATTTGCATAGTCTGTCTTCCTACAAGAATATTCTTCAACTCAAGCAGCTGTGTCAGTACAACGTCTAAGCAAAAATAATGGTTTTGGTGGAGATACCTAAAAGTAGTCAAGGTTAAGCAAACCTTTCGAGTACAAAGCCTTCGGTTCCATGGTAAGCAGCACTAGTTAAAAGACTGGGGAATGGGTAAATTATTGCGCCAAATGGCTGAGAATTAATCTCTGCTGACTAGCTGTAATCTAACGAGGCGTCTGTGTCCCAGGGAGCCCGCAGCATGTCCCTGGCGGTATGTGCAGTGTGTCGAGTCTGCGTGGCACCCTTTGTGCTCGCTCACAGGCGGCCTTTCCCCTCATTGTCCATAATATCCTCATGCATCTGGGACGCGTGGAATGCATTCATACTAACAGACTTACCATTGTTTTCTCTCAGAAGCTTTGTTGAGCAAAGACTGCATCACGGTTACTGATAATTATATTGCTTAATTAATCAAGACAAAAAAATTTGCAAATCATTGCCTGGTTGCCAAGCAAGGAGATAAAAAATGACAACAATACAAGCTGAAGCAATATAACAAAAGTAACAGCTATCTGATCAGAAATTCTTATATAATGAAGCTATTAATGCTAAATCGGTTAATGTTAGCATTGCTCCAGGTGTCTCTACTTAGATGCAAACAAAAAGGCTAACATTATGGATATAAAAGGCCAAATGTTGCCATGGATTCTGTAACCTGATAGAGAGGACAGCCTTTTCATTTGATTAGGGAATGCAATTTAAATACCAGGGACTGAAGCCAAACAAACAGACTTTCCCTCCGAAAGCCTCTCGCATTCACCCTGGGGTCAGTGGTTGGTGAACAAAAGGTCAGCTACACTTGCCCTGGAAATGTCTGGATTAATTTTATTACATTGTAATGGTTTGTACTTTAAATGTAGGGATAACACTAAGTTTTCAGTTGCCCTATTATTCTCTTCTTCTCTTTAGGCTTTTTTGAGTTAAAATACTAAGAAACCAATTTTTTCAATTCATCTTGTCAGAATTGATGACCAGGTTCATCTTAAACATACTTTATAGGAAAATTTAAAAAGTATATTAATGACTTTTTATACATTTTATGCAACTTTGAGAAATGTCATTTTTGACACAGCAGAGTCAAATGAAATGCTTTTCATGTTCTTCATTCACTTAAAAATAATGGGGACATTTTAAGGACATTATGACATTTTAGAGGACCATCCTGAAAATGAACTAATAAAAATAGTTCTATATTACATATAAAAAATCTTTGATAGCTAAAAAGAACTAAATCTATTGCTTCTCTAAGATTAAAATTATCACTTTAATTTTTGTAAGTAATTCTCTTCATGGGCAAATGCGAATGTTAGCACTGAGCCATTTTCTTCCAGCACAAAACTGAGAACCAGACATACACAGGGGTCTGAATCAGAGAAACACAAATATCTAATATGAACTCTGACATCTCTCTATGAACAGAGGGAACTCCCTTCTGAATGAGGCTTTCCTAGATTGATAAAGCCTTCACATTGGAGAATTAACATATATGTTAAGATTTAGAACTCTATTGATTTTACTTCTGTGACGGTAACTATATAAGAAAATCCTGATAGCAACCATAACAATAGCTAACAGAGAAGCAGCCTTTACCCTGGTGCCAGACAATGTCTGGAGCACTTTTTCACTTATTAGCACATTTAATGCTCACAATGTAACTTTAGGTTACAAATATGAATTAAAACAATAACTCTCATGACTTTATTTAAGTTTAAAAAAGTTCTGAGAATAATGATGACCCCCTTCAGGAAAAAGGTTTTGGGATGTAAATAAATATATTTAATATCAAGCTGAAAACAATAGTCTTCTTTTTTCTTAAAGAGTGGATATATGCTTAATATGTTTTATTTCAAACCTAAGAACACATCTTAATGAATTAAAAGTAAAATAAGTCACCACACAAAGCAGTGTTAAAATACCAGTAAAGGCATGACAAGGATCGAAACTGCAGCCGATTAGGACACAGGACATAGACCATTGGATTGTTCCAGCCAGCCAGCCCTGTGATCAATACCAATTGACAAAGCCGAATTGATTCTGTAGCAAGGTGCTTTGATTGTTAATACTTATCGTGTGGGCTGTGCTTCAGGGCCTCAATGTCATTGTGGACATGTCCAAAACCCTTCAGGATTGACCCTAATCATCACCAATCAGGGTTCAGTGACCAATGGCGTGCATCAGACAGGGCTGGATTCCAGTCCCATGGTTCTTCCCCAGTTAACCACGTGATAATGGAACTCCATCAACTCTTACTATTAATAATGTGCTCTAGTTAAAAATTATTATATATTTTAAATTATAACATTTTGAAGCATTAGGATTATTTTAAACCCCATATATTTCTCTAACATAATTTTCAAATAATACAATATGGAATTTTGTGCTCATGATTAGAATTCTTTTGAAAATCTCAGTTCACTTAAATTCCTATCTAGTACTTACAATTCTGATATTTTTAGGACATTCATCAGTTTTTTGAGGACAGGGAATCCAACGGAAAATGTTGGAGTCAGGGCAACAATGGAGGAACCATACCTCAGGTTTCTTTGTTATCGTGATAAAGAACATATGATTCTTCATTGGGTAAATAATGATCGAAACGTCTCCAAAGGCTGTTGGGATAATGCCCCTGCGGTAGTCCCTGGAGTGTTCAGACCAGACGATGTGGACCTCGTCATTCCCCAGGTGACGGAGCTGCAATAGCAAATTGGCTCTTTATTAACTGAGGTGATAACAACAGTTTATGAGGGGCTGTGGCTTACAAATTAAATTAGAAAACGCAGAGGCCAAAGTATTTTAGTCCCAAATCAGACTACTACACTGATGCCTTATGTGAGTATTCAGAAACATACAATTTCATGAAACTCCAGCCCAACTGCTAGGATGCACATTTGGTTTTAAGATCACACACAGAAGCTTAAGGGCACATTCCAGTGGGATGGAGGGACTTCTTTAAGGTCTCTTTTTACAAGGATTCTATTTCTACATCAGTCCTATGCTATAGTGCTGGAATGTTTCTCAACAACTAAATGACAGTCATTTTTTTTTTTTTTTTTTTTAGTCCTTATTAAAACTTTAAGCCTCTTCATCCAGTGGGTTACTAAGAAATAACAATGCAAGATAATACAAGCTACTCCAACACAACCGTTGACAAACATGTGAGAAACTGGTATTGAGATAAACTTTTGAGAAGAATATAAGCAATTATATTTTTAAGGAAATAAATATATTTAATTTAAATTAAAACTTAAATTTGGTGGGAATACTAGCACCTAGCATTTAAAGATTTCCAAAGTGTTAACATAAAATGCCATTTACCCTTCCCACTGACTATGCATGACTCCATCTTTACTTTATCTTACAAGAAGTGCCTGCTCAGGAATGCTCTATCTGCTGAGTGCACAGAACATCATGGGAGAGAGGGTTAGTGACTGTGGCCTCCATTCATGATTATTTAAGCCAGGGATATCCAATCTGTGGCCTACAGGCTATGAGAATGTACACACTCACACACACACACACACACACACACACACACACACACACACCCTCCTACTGTTGTAAGTAAATTTACAGTTTTGTGTTGGGTTGCATTCATAGTTATCTGGGGCTGCAAGTTGAACATTCCTGATCTCAGCTTATATCAAAAGCTATTTTACTGTTATAGCTCAAGTAGTTTAGCTCACTTTTTTTTTTTGACATTTTATAAAGAGACTATAAACTAAAAAAAAAAAAAAAAAAACCCACCAACACAGAGTCTTGGTGTCTGAGAAGGCATTAGGAAGGTCTCATTTAAGAAAGCCTAGAAGCATAACTATGAGGAAACCAGACCACAGTGATGGAAACACTGGCCCAGCTGAAGTTCTGAAGCTGGAAAGACTGGCAGAGCTAGGGCTTAGAAGCCTTGGGGGAATGAGGTTTCTGCCTCAGCTCAGGGAATGTCATCCAGAATCAGGAACAAGGGTCCTTGCCCATGTAACAGATGAGTGGTACAAGTGACCAAACTTAAAAGCACCGTAATAAAACTGAGATGTTATGTCAGAGCTTATGTTCTAGTTTTATCTTAAAAAACAGAAAAAGCATATTCTGGAATAGTGAATATTTGAAACATGTTAGCATAGATACGGTTTTCTTTAGAGACCATTTGACCATACAGGGAAAAACCCAAGGTAATTCCAGCATGGCTTCTTTTCCAGTCATACAGTTACAAAGGCAGCTGCTTGTGGTAGTGCCTGCTGATTTTCCACCCATACACTTCTGGAAGCGACTGTATACATCAATCACCTACAAAGAGACCTGCATCTGCACCTGCACCTTTATGGAGTAAGGTATGGGATTCAACTGTGTCTCAATAGTGACTCCAGGGGCAACTGGAGGTCTGTTAACTAAACCACAAAACCAAGTCACAGAGATCCAGAACAGCTTAATGGACTCAAAAACTTTCTAAATGTAAACACAACCCAGTGCATCTTTTTTCTTCTTCTCCTCATTCTATCATTACCCTGACACAGCATTAAAGGTCCACAGGGTAGCAGGCAGAACAAGAAAAGACTGAAGCACAGCCAAAGCTTTTGCTGTTCTTTTCTTTTGAAGGCACAAAATTCTCCTAGCTGAAGGTGTCCCTCTAGTCCACTCTTCCTTCTCCCAGTACTGGGGATCAAACCTAGAGCCTTATGTATGCAGTGCTCTATACTTCTACCATCTGAGTTACATTCCAAACATTCTTATCTGAGATTTCTGCCTGTCTGTGTTTCCATTTCTAACAGACCTTCCAAAGACCTTGTGACACTATTTTGCCACTTAGTCCTTTTGTAGTGACAGCATGAGAGCTAAGGTTGCCAGCAAGATAAGATGGACAGGTTTCCATGGTAAATGTAGACTAGATCTAACTGAAACTTGGGGAGGGATTTGGGGTGATAGGAACTAATAGTAAGAAATGGGCTATTCTGGAGTTCAGCTTACAGCCCTTATCCTACAAAGAGAGCTGGCCCTATACTCTTTGTCATGATGTTGGCAGAAGTAACTGAATGGAGACAACCCACTTACCAAACATCAAGCTGGCTGCTACCAACCAGTGTTATATCTAACACCTACAGTCTCTCCTTTTCATCCACAAGGGCAGAGTACAGTGCTTGCTCTGAATGGTACAGTGATTACTGAAATTTTGCAGTTACTCTGTCTCTAAATTGTGTTATTCAATTATATAACCCCAGTAGACCCCTCCTAATTTTATTTGCAGCAGTACTCTGAGAAAAGTCTAGTATAGGAGAGTAGTGCCACACTAACTAACTGACCCTTCTTCCCAGTGTGGCAATTCTGCAATTAAGGAAGAACTATTTTTTGTAATAGTCACCATCTCAGAGTTGCTTTCAGTGCCATGCACCTCAAACTTCTAGACATGTTACAGTTTAATTAACTAAACCACAAAACCAAGAGCTAAGGCCATGGGACCAATTGGAACAAAGTACAAAAATTACACCGTCTTGTGCCTATGATAAGAACCCAAATACGTACAACAAATAAAACTGGTGTGGACTATACACTATACACATCAAAGCATAACAGAACTACCCATATCAGAACATAATAGAATATTCTAGAAACCTAAAGTGGCACTCAATTCAAAGGAGATTTCTATTTCAATGTCACCCACAAGTTTGCATAGGGACAAGTCAGCTTGACAGGAGGCATATGTCTTCAGGAGATGGGACCTACAATGGGAGCTGCATTCATGTGGGGTTCTGCTTCCACTATGCAACAGACTCCAGAAGGCCTCAAGGCTTATGATGCCCAGAACAAACAGGTTCTTGAGCCTCAAGAAATCAATCCTATGTCCTGCCATCCTTGGTCCTGACAGAGTTCTAAAGCTCCTCTGCCCTAGCTGTTCAGCCTGCTGCTGCCAGGCTGCACGCCTGCACGCCACTGGTGACACCGGTCATGGTCCACACCTAATAGGCTGACCTCCTTTCCCAACTAATTGCATTACATCGCCAGCTGGCTCCAGAAGGAGTCGTCTGTTTGATTGAAGAATCCGGGCTCCTCAGTGGGCCCGGCTGCTACTTTTACTAAGTAACAGTCAGGCCTGACATCCCCATTGTTCAGCTGACAGTGTGCCCATCCTAAAATCTAAGTTTTATTTGTAAATTAACCAAGAAACTTCCTGCCAGAACAGAGCTGCTTAGAGACTGATAATGTGGGCCTTTCATCCCCTTTCACTCGCACTGTATCACTGCCAATTTGTTTTTCATGTGGCTGGCCAGCCTGAGGCTATAAAAGCCTTGTAAGACATAAGTGCAATTATAGTCCTGGAGTCAAATGAATTGGACAAATCCAATAGCACAGCTCTGTCCCCACTCTGCAAACCCCTACAGCAGTTAGATTAGCTGTGAAAAATCTAATCTAGCTAGAGCTAACAAATTTCTGTAGTGAAGGATCAAGAGTTCAGTAAGGGGTTGCAACGGGATTGCAGAATTGAAAAAGTCCCCCCATGACAAGAGCAGAACAGAGCATGAATCACTTTAGAATTTTGCAGCTCATTTTTAGGCTGTTAGGGACAATTTAGTTAGAGTAAGTCAAGGAACCGGGGGTTGCCATTATGTGACTGATTTTTCTGCCTAACTATGAGACATCCTGGTAAAGAGTTTATCATTAATGATGCTAAATCTTAGAGCCACAAAAGGTTTCAGCTGCTTTTTGATTATTACAATGGGGAATATCTCATTCAGACTAAGCCTTGGGACATTATTTATGGCAGCATTATGTAAAGAAAACAGTACAGAAACAAAATTTAAAAAGCCTCTATACTTAAGAAATACTTTAAAATGGTTTATATGCAAATCTATCTTTAACACATAATTGTCAGTCACACACACAAAAAATCATAGAATATGGTGATAATATGCAGAGTAGGAAGACTTTACAAGGTGCCCCAAATTTAAGAAAATCATGTGACCCCAGATTCTGGGACATCAGTGAGCGACCAGATAGCAAGGTCCTCCTTTCTGTGAACATTGCAGTCATCAGAACCCAAGATGGACAGTCAGCTCCTTCACACCTGTGGGAACCAGCACATGGCTAGCATTCCCACTAGCTGTGAGGTTCCCAGCCTAGGGAGGCCAGGGAAGTATGCAGGGCTATGCAAGTGAAAGGCTGCTGAGTTTCTGAATGCAAATTGTGCTTTGTGTATCTGAGACACTTGATCACTATGGAAATTGTCTGTGACCTGAGTTCTGATGATGTCTCACATGCACTGTTGTTCATCATGTATGCCATCCTGACATCTGTGGCTACAGTGGTGAAAAGGCAAAACCAGAGACAAAAGAAATGAAGCAGATACAGTAGGGTCTATGAGCTAGTATCAATCATCTGGCTAATGGGACAAGAAAAAAGAATCAATTACACCAGTGGACAATGACAAGGGCGATGATCAGAGAGTTCCTACCAGGTATCATGCTAAGCAATTATTTCAGGCACTGTCTCACTTACTTAACTCAACAGTACTATGCCACAGACTCCATTTTTAATCTTATTTAATACATGAAAAACTGAGGTACAAGCTGGTCAAACAGTTAGACATACACTTGAGCCTAGATCTGTCTGGCCCTAGCTCCAACCATATCACCATACTCCCAATGTGCAGCCTTCGCCAGTTCCTTATATTTGTGCTGTTAGAGGAGAGTGGATGTGAAGTGGGAATGTAGACTCTGTCATCTACCAGCCCTCAGGGGAAGCACAAATCAACATTGTTCTAGGATGTTCCTTTCATCTAGAAATTTACAGGAGTGGTTTTCTTACCAGACTACATTTTTCTCCCACTAATGTGTTCTCACCCAAAACCGGGCCCCCTAAAGTAAACATTCTGCAGGCTGGGAAGTTCAAGGCCCTGTCTCCTCAGTGGAGTTCCTCTGGGGACATAAGGTTTCCTTTGAACTTCAGAGGAAACTACCCATAGGGCAGAGGGTGAGGGAGAACAAAGGGGAAGCAGCCAAGGTGGGACATCTGGGCAGCAACACATCTGCAGGTCACTTTGCCAAACCTGATAGCTAACTAACCCTAACACCCTTGGGGTGTGGAAAGGATGCTTTCCTAGAACCTTACTAGAACTTTTGTCATAATGGCCATATTTTCTCTCAGGTCATTAACATGGAAGAAGATGAACAAGTAGCCACACTGCAGAACCTCCTTGCTAGTCCCTAACCTCAGGACTTAAGGTGGCGCCAAGTTGGTATTTTAGATTCAATACAACTGTAGCTGGAAGAAGATCGACACTGACTTTGAGCCTGGGGAAAGCAGCCCCAGTCTGTGTGTGCCAGGGCATGGTCACCATCCAGACCCAGAGAACCTCACTTGCACATGAATGCAAAGAGTTGCTGTCTCCGAGGAGCCGCCTTACCTTTTTGGTGAGTGAATCATCTGAATCTGATGGCATCCGTGTGGAAACGTGGAAAATTACTTCCACAGTAGAGGTAGCATAGTAAGGGGCTGTCTGTCCCGTGCTGCCATTGCGCTGAAGACCACCCATGAACCCACAGTGGGTTGAAAGATCTACCTGATGAAGGTCACAGAGCAAAAGGTGAGGGTCAAAAGTGAGCTGTTCTATTCATTAGGCAGGAATATGAGTTAAAAACATGAACTGTTTTCATTTTAATGTATTTCTTTCTGATTACAAATAAATGTGTTATACAAAATTAAAATTTTAAAGAAAGGAATGAAGAATACTAAAAATGAAACTGGCCTGCAACCCTACTACATAAAAACCACTACCAAAAGATTTTTTTTTTTTTTTTTTTGAGACAGGGTTTCTCTGTGTAGATTTGAAGTCTATCCTGGAGCTCACTCTGTAGACCAGGCTAGCCTCAAACTCACAGAGCTCCACCTGCCTCTGCCTCCCAGGTGCTGGGATTAAAGGTGTGAATCACCACCACCACCACCACCACCTGGCCCTGCCATCAAAATTTAAGGACTGACTGACCCAGCAGTACAGTGCTTGCCTGGCACATGCAAGGACCTGGCTTTGATCCCCAGCATGGGCTGGAGCATATATAGACACAAAACCCAAAACATCAAAAAAAAAAAAAATTCCCCTGCCCTCCCCTTGGTTTTTGGTGCATATTTCTCTAACTTCTCCCCCTCATGTATTAGGGTATGTACATGTCTGCATATGTTTGTATAGCAGATCCCTCTTATCTGGGGGAGGAGTTTGTCTCAAGACTTTCAGCAGGTGTCTACAACCACAAATATGTACTGTGTTGTTTCTCTATATAAAGACCTAAAATAAAGTTTATCACTTAGACAAGTAAGTAATCAACTCAAAAAAATAACAAATCCAACAGTCTGATGTAATAAGAGTTACAGTATCTCTTTCAAATCTCTACTGTACCTTGACCTCTTCACTTATTGAAAACACTTTGTGGTGTCTGGCGTATCCATATTACCAACACCATTACTCTTAGACTCTGGGACTACTACTATGTGCACACACACACACACACACACACACACACACACACACACACAGTGTCTTCACTGATGTGTCTGTGACATTTCCTGCTTTTTCAAACTTCAGGAACATTCAGAAGAGGGTTTCTATAAAATGTTGAGTCAAGGGAAGATGTTACACAATTTAGCAGTCATTACTAACCTGCCTTTCAAAAGGCTGCTTGAGTTTACCCCATTGCCATCAGTCTACAGATGTTTCCTTCTTAGTGACTAGATCAAAATTTTTAACTTGCCATAAACTATTATCTTTTTCAATAAAATGTCCATTTTAACAAACATGAAATAGAAAATTTTTCTGTTCCAAGTATAACCAATCTAAAACCTGAATGAATGTTCCAGTCACATTTCCACTCTTATTTTCTTTGATTCTAGGGGTGGAACTTGGGGTCCTGAGTATGCCAGGCAAGTTCTTGATGATTGAGCTATACTCCCAACCCTCTTCTAGTTGTTTCTTTGAACTTGACTGAGAAGGCCTGGTTCAAAAAATGATATGTAAGTTAAGTAATATATTTCCTAACTTTATTAGCAACAGTGGTTCACTGCAAGTACAGTTGCTCTTGGACTTTCTGGAAAAAGCATGGACTTGACCTTGATGTACTCTGTCCTAATGCCATCAAAGAAGGCCCTTGCTAAGACTAGACTCTTGGAAGAAAAGTTGTTCTTATTCAGCCAAGGCTTCCCTAACACAGATAACTCAGACAACTGAGAAACCAAAAGTAAGAGGAAGAAGAAAAAAAAAAAAAACAGTATTTTCTCTATTTTGATCTCTATTTGGATCACTCTCACTTTTTTTCATATTCTAGGGATATGCTTTCCTCTAGATTTACGTTCACAGGAGCCAGGTATGTGTCTCCGTGTATATATCCATTAGTTTGTCTTTCAGTAAAGAAAACCAATTTCTTATTATTCATTCTGGAGTTGTACATTAGGGAACAGCAATGACAGTCAACCACATTCCAGTTTTGAGTTTTTCACTTTATCCTGGTCCTCATTCAGTTTTCAACTATCAAGTCATTGCTTCCCCCCTCCCACCCCCTCAAATCCCCAGTGGCGATTTGTCTTCTTTTGTCTCAGACTACCACCCATGGCTAGCTGAGCCCATGTGACTACTCAGTTCTGATGCAAAGTAAATGAAAAGATATTAAGTCCATAGATAGAATATTGAAAAGAAGCAAACAGATTTTAAGGTCAAGACATTCTTTAAGAACTCTATGCATGCTGCATCTGAATATAAAAATACAACTAAGAACATACACAACTCATATCTGCTTTAAATAGTTATAGACAGCAACCACATAATGAATGAAGTTAATTACCTCCCATCCAAGACCAGCAACAAAGTCTTCATATGCTTGGCTTCCTCTTTCATTGGCTAGGATGGAGCACTTGTCTTCTTGCCCTTCAGCAATGTAAAACACTGCTATCTTGTGTGTCTCACGGCTATAAATGTTTAAATTTAAAGGAGTTAGAATTGATACACGTAGATAGATAGATAGATAGATAGATAGATAGATAGATAGATAGATAGAAGATAGAGTTTTATTTTACTGTTATTGTAGGCATTGACTCCTACTGGCACTCAATAGAGGTCTGCCACTATTCTAAGGTGGTTTTGCACGACCTTATTTGCACTCTGGGAGCCTCCAATAAGGCCAGTGTTATTGCTGGATCATCTACTTTGCAGAGGTGGTTGAAAGGAGATAAAGGTTAATGAAGCAGGAGACCATACCTCAGACACCGGAGACATGAAAAGAGCAGTTATCAGAGCACATCATCCACTATGCTTCTTCCCATGCTTGGTGAAGAACATTATCTGCTAAGGCAGTGGTTCTTAACCTGTGGGTCGTGACCCCTTTGGGGTCAAATGACCCTTTCATTGGTGTCACATACGGACATTTACATTCTGATTAAAAACAGTAGCAAAATTACAGTTCTGAAGTAGCAACAAAAATAGTTTTATGGTTGGAGGTCACTACAACATGAGAAACTGTATTAAAGGGGTGCAGCATTAGAAAGGTTGAGAAGCACTGCTCTAAAGCATTTCAAATAGACATGTAAGTAAGTATCTACATTTTGAGGAAAGGGTATGAACAGTTTTAAGACTGGATCGATGAGACATCCTAAGACTTTACGAGAAATGGAAACACTTAGGTATTTTCTTTGTGAAAGGATGTGTTCTAACTATTCTGAGGGCATCAAATATAGTAGATAGTTGTTCTGGGAAGGTTCTTTTGGATATATATAAACTCTTTATTTGCTTGCTCCATGATAGATTTGTGGCAGTTTCCTGTTAAATCATGTAAACATGATATGCACTTTGAAGAAAGGAGACCTGTCCATCTTGTTTTTTTCTTTCCACATCTAGTGTAATATTTGCTGCATAGTAAGTCTCAACTAAGTCTCTATTAAACTGACCAGATACATGACAGTATAGCTGAATGTGTAATTGCTAGTTTCTACAAATGATACAGTGAAGTAAAGTATCAAAATAACTGGAACCCTACCAAGCAATTCAGTGACAGTTTGGAGATAAAAAACTCAACTGTTGTTCAGATGAAGCTTAATCAAGAACCACTCACTCGACAGCACCATTGTCAATGAGCTTTATTCTATCATAGTCTCAATGGTAAAAGAATTAGATCTCCACTTCCGGGGCAGTGCCACCCTTCTCACATTTGAATTACATCATGAAAAACTGCATAGGAAAAAGCATCAAGTGCTTCAACAATACGGAAATGTTTCTACTGTCTAATTGTTTAATATCTCAACACTATAATACAATTAGACATTCAAATTGCTAGATCTGGACTCCCTATTTTAACAAATTCTCAAAACAGCCTTCTTCGTGGTTATTTTTTTTTACTTATTAAACAAGGCTAATTGAAGCTCAACCAAAAAGTTACATAAATCACAGTAGGAGGAGGAGAATTCTCTCTTATTCACTAGCTAGCTATTCATCCCTCCCCCCTCCCCATCATTCTCATGGAATAAATATATGTGAAGAAGAATCAGAAAATAAAGGAAGAAAAGGAACTCTCGATCTGAACATGTAAACAAACAACATAGTTTTCCACCACTTTAGCAAATGAAGAGAGGCACTGGGTTTTTGTTTGCTTGTCTTGTTCTGTTGTTGCTGCTGTTTTTTAAGTGATGGATCTTACAGGGACTGTGAAATTCTGTAGTAAAGACCTTATGGAGTCTAGAAATTGCCATACCATTAACTGCCCTGAAAAACAGGCAAGGGTCAACAAGAAAGAACCCCTACAACATGATTGGCTTATCACAGGAGCTGTAATAATTTGGCAGCTTAGATGATGATAGCATACATCCTAACCTTTACCTAAAAGGTTGTTTCAACAAAAGAACAAAAGCAGTTACAATCTGAAACTTTCTCTACACACTTAAAAGTCCTTAGCATTCAAATTTTCTCTTTTCTACAGATTTGACGAACACAAAAACAACCTCAGGTTTATCTGAAATACATCAGTATTTTATCCTTAAAGCCCGGGATTTTTCCATCCTGGGTCCTTGAGTTCTCATTTACTCAGTGTAGGAGCACAGAGGGCTAAGCTCAAATGAAGGACCGACTGGTGTGGGTGTGAGGAAAGATGACCTTTAGTTGTAAACATTCATCAAATTTCACATCCTCCAAAATATTAGCACTGCAGAGAGCCTGCTAAGATGCAGACACTGTGCCTGGCCTTATTAGCACCAGGCTTTTGAAATGGTAATTACAACATCAACAGCACTTCATATCTACAAGCTGCACAACCAGTGCATGAAGGAGCAGGTAATTCAGGAACACACATACATAAAATCAACAACACAGCCTTCCTTGTTAAGAATCATTTTTTTCTTTCTTATTAGGAATAGACTAGAATAGTTCCATTTTCTTGTGCTGTCAGGTTTTAAAAACCCAACAAAGGAAAGCATGACTTTACCATATCCTTTCCCACACAGTGGCAAGAAAGTCCCTAGTGATTTGTATGTCCAGCAATCACACACAGTATGAAGACCCTAGCTGCAAGACTATTTTGTCCTCAAAACATGTGAAGATGGCACCGTTCCCCTAAAATAGTGATATAAATTGATACCAGAAATAAATAGAAATGTCCTGGAAGTTGAGAGACAAGGTGTGTTCTTGTTTGGTATCAGACCAATCTATGGCACAGGCTAGATTTCTTACAGGTAAAGAGCCACCAGACTTAATTCAGGTTTTTAAAAGATAATCTTAAAAAATACCCTTTCTCATGAAATAAATTGATGGGCATTTAGAGGCCATGACGATGTAAGTCCAAGAGTCAGGATTTTAAGTGAAGGTTAATCAAAGGGCAGAAGATTGCCAATCAGCTACCCAAAACCATATTTTACTGCAACAGCACCCCGGGGAGCTAATTCAATTGCACCTCATGCAACTAAAGTGCATTAACATTCAACAAATTGGCTACAATTACAAGATACCAGTGCATTCACTTAACACTGGAGAAGCAGGGAATAATTCAACATATGCTGGAAAAGCTGGGTTTGGGGTCCAAATGATTGTTTGTTTAACATTGAAGGACAAGAGTGGGTGAAACAAGTGCCTGAGCCCTTCAGAAATCCCTCATGAAATTTTCAGAGGGCCCAGTCTCTGTCCTGGAGAGAGCAAGGAGAGAAAGACTGAACAGAAAAACGGCAGGGTCTAAAGCATTTTTCAAACATTTTTGAAATTCAAATTAAGCTTTACTTGAATCAAGAAATGAAAACATTTAAAATACCAATGAAGTCCCAGGATCTGCCCTAAGGATGGTTTCTTTCTTCAATTACAACCACAAATGAATCCTTTAAACTTGTATAATCTTATTTCTCAATACTAAAATGCTTAACACTCTGCCGAGCAGTATGGTTACCAGGCGGAAAGGGCTTCACATCACTGCTGCTGGCGGAGTCAGGCTCACTACAGCCACTCTGGCACATTCCCAACACTCAGAAAACATACAAAACAAGTACATGCTTTAACATGTGTGTGGCTCTAAGAAGCCAGGAATGTCGAGAAAGATACATGGGAAGGTAGGAAACAAAACAAAACTCTTGATTCCTACATATTAGTCCATATAAATTAATGTATCTTAATTCTAAATTCTTCTGGAGTAAAAGGATATATAGCTATAAGTAAGCTTATATGATTTTATCTGCTGAATCCTTGGAGAGACCAGGAGGTAGACAGACTTGCTGATAGGCAGAGGGGAAGAAGAGAGAGGAGGAGGGAGAAGCAGATAATAAAGTTAGTGAATTTCCAAGATGGTCAGCCTCTTCCTCAGCCTCCTGAGACAAAAGCCTGGCAGCTGCCTCCCACCAGGCCCACTACTGATGGACTGGCTCAACAAGTTCAAGGTCCACAACAGTTGTGGACCAATCAACCTTCCTATCTGTCTTCAAACTGACCAACCCTAAAGTAGGGAAGAAAATTCTTAGAGTCTTTAAAACTCCAAGACCTCAAGAAGATACTGGATTTTCAGTGTCTAAAGTACACCCCCTGCTTTGTAGAGGGTCTTTTTCTCTGTCTGACTGCTGCATATGTGTGTTTCCTCACCCCCAATAATGCTCTTTCTTCAACTGCTGATTCTGTCTGTGATGCATGAGATTTCTCTGTTGACACATTTGAGCTTCAGATTTTCCCCGACTTTTAATTCTTTAACTGGCAGAGAAAATGAACCTAATTAAGGCCCCTAGATTGAAAAAGATATTTTTTCATTAAGTTCTCTTAAAGGTGTGTGTGTGTGTGTGTGTCTATTTTTGTGCACAAGTGTGCATGCATATGCTTTTTCAATTCCAGATGGAGTTTAATAGTTGTTGTTGTTATTCCTAGGTTCAAGAAGTCAAACCACCAACAAAATAACACAGTTATAAACCTGATATGCAAATAATAGTGACATGAGCCAAGCATTTACTTAACAATAAAGAATAAAACCACAAGAAATCCACCTGAACACAAATGATAGTGAAAATGACTGCTTAGAAAATAGCATAGTGCTGACACAAAAACATGAAGGCCAATGGATGAGAACCCAAAATATTTTTGGTTGTGAGCCTACCTTTAACGGCTGAGCCATCTTTCCACCCCAAGAACCCAATATAAAACCATTTAGTTGCAACCATTTAATTTTTGGCAACAGTGCCAAACATACACAAGGGAGAAAACCAGCCTGTTTAACATGTAGAAGAATGAGATTAGAGCCCCATCTCTCATCCTATATAAAAATCAATTCAAGATGGACTAAAGACTACATTTTAGATTGATGTTGCCAGAGAAAAACAGGGAAAATACTCCAGACAAAAGAATAGACAAGGATTTTCTAACAGCAGAGGAAATAATTCTAATAACTAGCAAATGGGATTATACAAAAATCACAAGGCTTTGCACAGCAAGGAAAAAAAATCACTATCCTGAAGAGAGCTACAGAATGAGAAAAAATAAAAAAACTTTTATAACTAAAGTCAGACTGGGCCTAATGTATAAGATATATAAAGAACTACTAAATTAAACAGCAAACCCCAAATCAACAAATAGTTTCATGAACAGGATAGTTCTTAAAGAAGAAATACAAGTGGCCTCTAAATAACAGAAAAGTATCCAACATCTTTAGCTATACAGAAATGTCAATTAAACCTGCCTTAAGATTCTATCTTATCTCAGTCAGAATGGCTATCATCAAGAGAATAAATTCAAGGCAGAATGTCAGGGTGGGGTGTTTTATTCATTGCTGATGGGTATATACAATGCAACCACTGTAGAAACCACTCCAAAGCAGGCACCCTTAAACAAAGCACATATAAACAACATGAAACAGACTCAGTAGGTTGCATGCATATACGTATGTATACACACACATTCATAAATAGTAAATAAAATATAGTGAGAACCTGATTGAAGAACACACACACACACCACAACAATTAATGAAAAAGAGGCCATGAAATTAAAAGAGAACAAGATATGGGAGTTTTTTTTTTTTCTTGGTTTTGGTTTTTGCTTTTAAATTAAAGAAAGCCTATGATCCCAGCTACTTGGAGGCTGAAGCAGGAAGATTATATACATGTTCAAGGCCTACCTGGGCTACAGAGTATGTTGAAGGCCAGCCTGGGCAACTTAAAAGAATCAGTGTCTCAAAAACAAAACAAAACACCAAATGTTCAGTCAAGGCCAATATCAGCAGATTCTGGGCTACAGAAATACTTTGGTGTCACTATAGGTACCTTCTTTCCTGAAGCTGTATTTTACACCATGAGCTCATAAGGATAGACAAGGAAAAATATTTCAGTATACTTTTACATACCACTGACGTGAGTCCAGATTCTTTAGCTCTCTCAACAATTTTGAATTTTTCTTCAACAAATGAAAATTCTTCCTACAAAGAAAAAAGGATGGTAGAATAAATCCATGTGACCACAGAATAACTCTTCTACTTTCTAATCCAATAACAAACATAGCCATTATGGTAGTTTGAATAGAAATGGCCCCCATAGGCTCTTAGGGAATGGCACTATGAAGAGATGTCTTCTTGTTGGGGTAGGTGTAGCCATGTAGGAGCAAGTGTGTCACTGGGGTGGGCTTTGGGGTTTCACAAGCTCAAGCCAGGCCCAGTGTCTCTCCCTTCCTGCTGCCTGAGGATCCAGATGTAGGACTCTCAGCTACCTCGCCAGCATCATGTCTGTCTGTATGCCACCATGCTTCCCATCATAAGACCAATGGACTAAAACCTCTGAACCTGTAAGCCAGCCCCAATTAAATGCTTTCCTTTTTAAGAGTTACCTTGGCCATGGTCTCTGTTCACAGAATAGTAACCCTAACTAAGACAGCCATCATCTATCCACCTACTATCTCCTCCACTGAAAAACTGTGATAGGTATTGTAGTTGTTTGAATGAGATGCCCCCCATATTCTTGGGCATTTGAATACTTGTCCCCCAGTTGATGGTCTTGTTTAGGTAAGTTTAGAAGGTGTAGCCTTGCTGGAAGGAGTGTATCACTGGGGACAGGACTTAAGATTTCAAAAGTCACGTGACATTTCCAGTGCACTCTCTCTGCTTCCTGTTACCAATTAGATATGTGAGTTCTCAGCTGTTATGTCTGCTACCTGCTGTTCCTGCCACTATGAGCCCTAAGCATCTGGAACCATACACCCAAATTAAACTCTTTCTTCTATGGGTTGCCTTGCTCATAGTGTTTTATCATAGCAAAAGACAAGTAACAAATTTAGAAGTCTTCAAAATGCGCTCCAATATCCCTGAAGGAAAGCTATGCTTCCTGTACTTTAAAGGAGTGACAATGATTTGGAATTCAATCTGTATACCAGTATAACACATTTGGTTTTATTTCTAGCTTTAATCCGGTAGCTAAAAATAATCTGTAAACATTGAAATCTGGAAAAAAAAAACCCTCTATTTCTTATTCTTTAACCTCAAATTGATAATAAGAAGAACCCTCACAAATAATAATAATAATAATGATAAAACATTCAGAGCACTGTTACCTTCTGTCCCAGGAATTCATTCCCAGGTCATCAAGCAACAACCTGCAGAAATAAAAGGGTCCTCGGGGTTCCACTGGCGAGGGCTGCCCTTGGCTGGTGACCTTCACTGCAGAATTAGAGTTACACCTCTGGACATACTCATCTTCCTGTATGCTCTGACGCAGAATGACCTCAATGATTTCCTTCTCTTGGTCACAGTTCATCCCACACGGGGGTGGGGAAGGCTCGTTTAGATTTAGTTGTGATGGTAAAAGGCATTCAGGGCTTGTATGGCCAATGCTTTCAAGTAATTTGTCAAGCGCATCATCTCCCTCTTCACTGTGAGACAAATCTTTCTGAGGTCCACACATGTGTTGATGCCAGCCAGAAATCTGAAAAGAGGGATTCCTTCCACTGGGTGTCAAGCGGCCTTCCAGAGGTCCATATAAAACCTTGCCATCCCAAGAGTACTTCCCTGAGATATCCCTCACAATGACTCTCACATCTGAGAGGGAACCCCCTGAAGTCCCTCCATCTGGTCCTTCTGCAGGTGTCTGAAGGTAGGAGATGAGGGTACTATCATTAAATACAAAGAGCTGCAGGTTTGGGCTCCTGAACACTTCCGAGGACAGCTCAGCACCTTCCACATGGGCATTGTCGTGGTTCTCACTGACCAGGCTGTGCAGCACGGCCGGGCCCCCACTCAGTGGATAGTGGCCTAGGTGGTTCACTAGGTGGGCCATCACCATTCGTGCAGTGAGGGGGATCAATTCCACACTTCTTCTCTTCTTTTCTGTGAAGAGCAGGAAGAAAATGTGAGGAGACACTGGGGCCACCACAAGATTTCTGTCAGTAGTTTCAATGTTTCATTTTGATTTTTGTTTTGTTTTGTTTTGGTTTGGGAGACAGGGTGTCACTATGTAGCACTGGTTGTCCTAGAACTCATTATGCATACCAGGTTGGCCTGGAACTCACAGAGATCCACTTTCCTCTGCTGGGATTAAAGATGATTAAATATTACACTCAGTGGAATGTTTGATTTTTTAATTGTAAAATTGTTTTTTTTCATTTTGACACTAATTCTATTTAAATCTAAGAAGATAGTTGAAACAGACTGCTAAAAGAACCAACTTACATGAAGCTGTCACTCTGAAAGAGACTTTAAATGTCTGCAGATAAAGGAATAAGCCAAAGAGAAGCATCCTATGTAAGACAGATAAAAGTTTGGGGGCTCAGAAGAAGGTAAAAACAAGGCTGGAGGGGCAGTTGGGGCCAGAAAGTTGGCCAGGGAGGTTACTGTGGCACCCCTCTGTTGCATGAAGGAAAACTTAAGAAGGACATTAATAAACCTCAGGGCCATGTTTAAAGATTGGAAGCAGCTTGTTTAATAATCATTGTGACAATTTATGTTTTGTTATTAGGACACTTAAAATATTTAAGAGAATTTGTCATATTAATAAATCAAGGAGGTACTTAGAAGAACTTAACTAAATTTGTACTTGATGATTTAGTATTCAAGAGCAACTGATTTATAAAATTTTAACTTATATACATACAAAGACCTTGACCACAGCCCAAGTAGCAGGGCTTTACAGAATGGGGTAAAATGGAAAGGCAGATACACTAACGCTGTAACTAGAAAGTGAAATGAGTACTTCAGGCTGAGAGTAGTTGAGGAAATTTCATCTGCCAAATTTATAAAGCCTGATGCATCAATTTGATAACAAGTAAAAATGAAACTTAAAATTTTATGAGAAAGGTCTAACTATTTAAATTAAGGTTTATAATTTGAGCTAAGAGTATTAGGAAAAAACTGGCTTTTAAAATCACAATATAGTTGGATGTTTGGTGGCACATGCCTTTAATCCCAGCACTCGGGAGGCAGAGGCAGAGGCAGGTGGATCTCTGTGAGTTCGAGGCTAGCCTGGTCTCTAGAGCGAGTGCCAGGACAGGCTCCCAAGCTACACAGAGAAACCCTGTCTTGAAAAACAAAACAAAACAAAACAAAAATCACAATATAAACAATCAAATATTAACACATAAATCTCTGTAAATATATAACATATATTTATAATATATACACATATATTATAATATATACAAATATATATATAAACAAACAAATATCATACCTTTAGCTTTAGATACTACCCAACCAGCTTACATATAACATATTGTTTTGTGCTGTATAAAAAATCCTAGAAAGAAACAAATCTCTGAAATTTGGGGAATTCTGAGCAATGAATGAGGACAAGATCACCTTGAATTTTCTTGGATTTCTTACCAATGTTTTCAATATACATAAAATCTATACCCAATAATGGAAAATAAAATGTCATACAAATGGTCATTTACATCTCTTCCTAAACTTAAACTTTTTCCCACAACCTAAGAGAAATATGTAAGATTTCTACACAACTAAGAAATCTAATGCTCCAGCTAAGAAATGTTAGTACTCCAGAGAGCCACATGAAACCAGCTGGGAGTTCACAGTTCATAATGTGAAACACGCTGTTGTCATGACAGCAGGGCAGGCATAAAACTAACGATAAAAGTACAATATGACAAAAGGTCATGGCAGAAAATATCAGTTGAAAAACCAACTTCCCTCTACTTTTGCTCGCAGAGGGTTGTACTTTTGATATTTTGTGAATACTTGAATTCTACAATGGGAGAATAACTTGGATTCATAACAAACTATGACACGTTGACACTTCTAATAAAATCCCAAGTGGGTCTGGTAGTGGAGTCAGGAAAAGGAGCATTTGTGAACCACTGACCTCTCCTGCTGGCACATTTCAGCTAAGTCAACTCCCTATATGTTCCCTGAGAACCAGAGACGATTTGGACTCAACTAATGACAAACCAGCTCAGGGCTTCTACAAACTATTAAAAAGGAGAAGATCCCAAGTATTATCTTGTTCCTAAATTCCTAGAGGAAGTACAAAGCTTTACCCCTCACCTCTTGAAGCCTCTCCCCCACCTCCTTCTACTTAAGTAGTTATTAACAATGATCAATCTGAGCACATGAGCTCACAGATGGCCTGACTATGTATCTTGATTGTAATTTTATTTAAAAGTAGCAATTGTATCCAGAATAGGTAATGCCCTAAGTAGGTCAACACAATGGGGGTGAACTTATTTTAGGGTGCACCATGTACTCTACACTCCCACCTGATCATAGCCTGCTGTGTCTCTTCCCTCTTCACCAAAAGCCCATGAGAGGGGTCTGTCACAGGTTTGAGTGGTCACCAACTCATGCTATCTAGCTAATCTGGACTAAGTATTCTGGTAAAGTCCATGTCTAAACACTTCCTTGCAAACACAGTCCCTTTTCTGCTCTCAGCCTCCCTGGGCTTCTTGAAGCACCCAGTACTGCTAACTGCTTCTGCACCACCTACTCTGACCTTGGTGTCTAGGAATGACCTCTAATGACTCTATGTTGGTCCTTTTCCACAACCCTGACTTTACTTGGTGATAGCCCCTCATTGCTTTTCTCTTAAGGATGTCATGAATTCCATTCTTGGCCCTAGCTTGCAAACTGAAAAGCTTCATGCAATATCCCTGGATGATGATGTACTACTCTGTAGCCACATTTGCAAACTGTTAATTGGGTCAGTTGAAGATTCATATACAGTAATAGGGAATAAAAGAGATTTTTAACTACCCTTCATCTCAGGGGTAACATCTTAGATATACAGTTCAATACCACAACCAGAAAATGGACATTAACATAGCCCACTAATAAATTGGTATGCACCAGTTTTATACATTTATATGTGCTTAGTTTCATGAAAATCTGCCACACTTATAGTGACCTGTTCACTTTTCAGACTCATATTCCAAGGCTTAGATTGGGTGCTTTTCATTTATATCAGTGGCAGAGGAGGAAATACAGTAGCCAAGTCCTAACAATCTCCACAGACTTGTCTGCCACAGGAACACATCCCAAGTGGGGGCAAGTAAGCTCCCAGCTTTCTTCATGAGGTGAATACTCCATGAGCTCCTTTAAAGCCTACCCTCCTTGCTGTGTCTAGCTTAATTATTCCCTATGGGAAGTTCTGAGGATGCTACCAGCCCAGTATTGTCCTATCTCTCCCACCAAATGTAAAACTTCTTGAAGATTGAAAAAGGAGCCCCCCCTTTTTTTTTTGCATTCTATGGGTATGAGGCAAGAGATTTTCTGTAATACAAAACCATGTGAATAATTTAAGATGGGAAAAAGAAGAGAGGAGGAAAAAATAACAGGAATAAAGAGGAAGTAACAGGGAAGGCAATTTGCCCTCAGAGACCCTATAAACTGGGACTTCAACAAGTAGATTCAAAACAAGCATGGACAAGACTACAATCTTACCTCTTCCTGCCCATAAGATTGTATATTTATAGACATACGCACCCTCTTCCACAGTCAGTAGATTCCCCAGGTCTGCTGATGAATGGTACTGGACCGGCTCTGAGTTTCTCACATTTGCCAGAGGCAGGAAGGGGTCATAATCCGTGGATGACAAGTCAGCCAAGGTTAGAGTGTAGTGACTTTGCTGTGTGTATGTGCTTGAGCCACAGACACAGCAGTGCAGAACCTGAGGAGAACAGACAGGAATGGTATGCCAACACCTCCTGACCCCTGACAAACTGTCCAGTCTCCACAGTACTTTTGAGACAGGACTCCTACTTAGGAACATGTCAAAGTATGGGGTTGTTTCCAATCTTAAATATCTTTTTGCTATAAGCAAGTCAGTAACAATACCTACATTCTCAGGCCAAACGGAGCCCAAGTGAAAAGGTTTATGTTCTTGTGTGATTGCACACACCTCAGTCCGTCACTCTCCAAAAGTAACACAGGTGGAAGGAACCAGCCCAGGAGATGAAAGACAGCTGTGGGAAAGCCCTCATGGTTGAGGGCAGGGTGACCACAACCTGAGTCTAAATAAGTACAACGCATGAACCGAAGAATTATATGAAATAATTTAATATGATTTTGAAAACATAATTAAATAAAAGTAAACTGAAAACAGATTTTAAAGTCTCTCACTTCTCACAAAGTGAGATTTCTTAACTCCTATCCTAAGGATTTTTTTCCTTTCATGTTCTTTTAGTTTTGATTTGGTTCTGGTCTTGAGAAAGGATTTCATTATATAACCTAGGCAGCCTTGAACTCAAGGCAATCCTTTTGCCCGTTGCTTCCAAGTGCTGGGATTATAAGCATGTACCACCACACCTTCCTCTTGAGGTTTCTTTAAGGCAAATAAAGTACCAGAAGCATTATTTTTTTTCTTACTTTCCTACAAACAGATCTTTGGATGCTGCAGACCCTCCTACATATAAACAGTCCATTTTGAAATTAAGTAGACAGAGATCATGTGCCATGAAGACTGGGGTCATTCTGATCAAACAGCAGTTGTTTAAAGATGACAGTCATGTGGAAATGTATATATCTTCACCTTGGCAACTACTTGCTTTCTACAACTGTATGTGTTCTGCTTGTTCATTAATTATTCATTTCTTTCCAAATACTTAACCTTCCACAGGTCCTTTTCAGAAGGCACAAATACATAAATGTACAACATATACAACATTTTGGTAATTTTTAACCTGTAGGTCCGCTGTCAATGCCCAAGGCTTAGAGGAGACTCACCCTGTAGATATAATCCAGCAAGGGAGCCCGGGGTGGGTGCAGCTCCTCCAGGACTGCTGTGGACACAGGGTGGAGAAGGGCATTCACAGGCAGTGCCATGCACCAGTCCAAGAGGCAGAGGAGCAAGGACACAATAAACTAGAAGAAGAAACATAACCAGAATTTCACTCTACGGCCCTTTGGACCAACTGCATGTAAAAATAAACAGAATTGTCCCTGCTCAATATTCAATAGACATGCAAATGCAGGGTTAGTATGTAAACAAAAATGGCTTTCATAGGAAAGAATGTTAAAGCCACCATATAAGGATGTAATAAATGATACCATCATCAGTAATGTTAGTTACCATTCTGTCTTACACTTAAAAATTACTGTGGGGAAAGTTACCGAACATGTCACTTACCTTTTTATCTGTTTCCACTGAGGAGTACTCTGCACTTGGTAAAAGAAATGCAATTGTGGCCACAAGGATCTGCATAAAAGATAAAACCCAGTCAAGTAGACCATGATAGTTTGGAAGCCATATGCTAAGGATCCCAAATTGACCTTGCAACTAAACAGCTTGGGACCTACTCACTGGATGATGATAGAACACTGAGGGCCAGTGGTAGGAGATTTGAAAATAACGATCATGTAATGGTTTCTATGTCTTTAGTGGGAGACTGAGACCTCATGGCAAGGAATAGTTCTTTCTATAGTCACATAATATCTACTATTAGTCTACTAATTAGTCTACTAAATATCTACTAATATTATTATTAGTAAAGTGAAAAAAAAGTTTTCAAAAATAATTATGAAAATAATTTGCTATTACAAATTAGCATTGGTTTCCACCTCCTGCTCCCACATCACAGCATGCCATTCATTCTCACAGGTATCCTGTCTGGATAATTACAGGGTGACACTAAACCCAACTTTACATTATGAAGCAGAGTAAAAGGTCTATTTCACTCTAGGTCACTTCAGGTCAAAAACCACTTGTGACTCTTGATGTGATTCTGAGAGAACAAAGTGATCTCAACCAATGAAGTCTGTCTAGGGCTGGGAAGAAATGAATCTGTATCACTTCTTCTCTCTCCTTGCCATCTGTCATGGGGACAAATCAAATTTTCTCAGAGGCTCCACTAGATGGGTAAGGAACAGGGCTTGCTTGAAGAAGTTTGGTTATAAAAACTGCCAAGCACAGGTGTGTAGGTACCTATGAGTTAGTTCCTGCTCCGTTCTGAGCAAAGACCCCTTGGCTGTAGCAGACCTCTGAGAAGCTGTGGTTGAGTACTTCCTGTTCCTCCTGCCTCCTCTCCTGGCCACATCCCTCTCAGAGGTTAATACTGCACTGATCTCATTACTGCTGAGTAACCATGCCACAGCAGCAAGCGTGGCCCAGGGCTTTAGTCTGGGAACAACTGCTTTACACAACAGCCAGGCCCCCACCCTGCAAGGAAGGCATTAAACCAGCTGCCTACTCCTTGTTGGCACCATCCAAATTACTCTCAGTGAATAAAGCCCAACCTACAAAAGGTCTCTTTGTTGTGGTTGTGTCTGCCTTTCAAACTCTCCAAGCATCAGCCTCTGCCCTGGAACACTGCAGGCTTCTTTGCACAGAATTGCAGCTGAGAAGAGCCAGCCAACACTGCCTGAAAACAGGGCTCACATGGCAGTTTAATAGTTGCTTCTCTAACAATTATTTGAGGATCTACAGTTAATTAGATATCAAATACATTAGTAAGAAGGGAATGTGAATGCTTTAGCATTGTAGATAAAGGAACTTACTTCTGCCATTTTTCGCGGTAGAGCAGTTTCAAACATCTGAAGCTTTTCCCAGTAGGAAACCAGCAGCTGAAGAACATCACAGGCTACCTGAGCCACGATCTTGTTAGGAAACTACAAAAGGAACCAAAACCCCCAAGTAAACAGAGCAGCTCAGCAGGTGTATATTCTGGAGGAAGAACAGGGCTGTTTGCTCTTCCCAGTTCTATACATATATCTCATGTGCAATAGGTGAAAACTATGTCCAATTAACATCATTTGCACATGACTACTCCATCATTCTACATTGCTGATTGTTTGGAATTACCTACATTGATTTATATATATATCTGTAGAAAAAGGTGGCCATTATCTGCCTAGAAATTAAAAGCCTAAGTTTAAAATTCTGTATTCAGCTAATATAAATCATCCTATTGTCAACTTAAGGAAATTAAACTAGAGTATATAATTGAGTGTCCTCTGTGTGCTGAACCTTCTGCACAAACGTAACTCATTCTGTCATTGACAAATTGTCATTGACAGTTCTGTAAGGAAGATGCTATCTTCATTTCACACACAGAGACACAGGGATTAAACAAATGACTTCCTAACTGAGGAAATAAAATAACACACAGGTAACATATTAAGAAATTTATAAAAGCAGACTTTAAGGACATGGGTATGTTCAATGATTCTGGATGTATTTCCCAAAGTTGTCTGTGGCAGCTTAAATGAGCATGTCCCCTCATAGGCTAATATATGCTTCAGTCAGCAAAATTGGAAGGGCAGAGCCATTTAATACCTTGACATCAGACATAGAGTTACAGGATTTGGAGTTTGCCCTGCTGGGTTTCAGTATTCTGTTATTTCCTCACTATGCCCTGATTTGCCCCCCTTTAGAATAGTAAATGCATATTCTGTGCCACTGTATGTTGGAAGTATTACATTTGTTTTTATAATTTACAAAAGGGTTACAGTTAAGAGATTGCCTTGAATCTCAGAAGAGATTTTTTGAACTTTAACCTTTTAAACTGTACTGAGACCGTGAAAGACCATGGGGACTTTTGAAGTTGGATTGAATGCAGTTTGCATTATGATATGGTTACAAGCATATGGGGGCCAGGGAGTGGAATATGGCAGTATAAATGAGAATGGCCTTCACAGGATTGTATGTTTGAATACTTGGTCCCCAGTAGTTGGACTATTTTGGAGGGATTAGGAAGTGTGTCCTTCTTGGAAGATGTACGTCACTGGGGGTGAAGTTTCAAAACCCCATGACACTCCCAGTTAGATCTTCCTCTACCTCATGGTTGCTGTCTCAAGGTGTGAGCACCCAGCTACTGCACCAGGGGCATGCCTGCCCACCATAATGCTCCCTGCCATGATGGTCATGAACTCTAACCCTCTGAACCTTTAAGCCCCAATAAACCTTTTTTTCTATAAGGTGCTTTCAGTATGGTGTCTCTTTATAAAAATGGAAAAGTAACTAAGACACTGCCTTAAGACCCAAGTCTCCTGAACACTCTGTCTGTCTGTCTGTCTGTCTGTCTGTCTGTCTGTCTGTCTATCTATCTATCTGTTTATTTTGTGAGGTGGATGTCAAAGAGGTAATTGTGCAAAGCCTTTGAATGAGACGAGGACACCCTGTGCTTCCAGCCTTGGCCAGAACCTAGAGGCTACACTGCTAGCCACACCTTATTATTGATAGCACATGGCTTGCTAGTGGCCTGTACTGCTTAATTTAAATCACATGAGCATTCAGGGACTCTTCACAGCCTTCCTCCCTCATCTAAACTCCAGATGACCTGACTGCCACTGGCCTCCACCCATCAAGCACCCTGGGTGTTTCTCTCCTAGGGCCTTTGTACTTGCTCCTGTCTTTGCTTCAGATTTTTAGTTCTCAGGTCTAATGTACCTAGCACTACTATTCTGTTCAGATCCTCACACAAAATTTCACCATCTCCATGAAGCAATCCATACCTCCCTATTCTTCAGTTTTATCCCTTCCTGTTTCATTTCCTCCACAGTATTACAGGAGATTGCAAAGTATTTTACTATTTTCTTACATCGTTATCACTGTTGGCAGGGCTAACAGTGGGGTGTACACAACATGTTCAAGGGGAGGTGGAAGAATGAATGGGAGCTAACAAGGCTCTCAAGAAGCTGGAAACAGACGTGGGGAAAATGACAAGAGCTATGGGAGACAAGACAAAGGGCCTTAGGGGAGAATGAGGAGAGATGGGACAGAGAGAAAGTGGTAGGATGGTGGGCTGAGCTGTATCTGGAAGGATACAGATAGAGAATTGGGTTTTCCTCTAGGTGAGCAGCAATATGTGTGTGCCATAGAAGCACAGGTTGAGGCAGCTAAGGATTCTGAGAGGGGGACTACCAATGGGGTAGCAGTAAGCATACATAGTAAGAGATGTAAAGGAAGGTAGGGATAAAAAAAAATCACTCACTCACTTAACACTGTGAAAGGCTGATAATATGCCAACACAGAATCAAAGGCCAGAGAGCTGAAAGCATAAGAGTACAGTTGAGTATAGCCTGTGCTTTCTAGGAACAGGAGAAGGCTGGTGTCTGTCTTGTAGGCCAGAGTGGTCAGATCTATGCACAGACAGTGGAACAATCTGGCACTATGATGGACACTCTGACAGGGCAAAGGCACAATACATATAATTGTATTTTTTTTCTGGTACCTTATGTTTTCCCTCATAATTACAGAAAAATTGCAGGTTTTGAGAATCCATAAACATTCAAAGAAGAAAATCTGTTATCTGTGATTCTATTCCTCTGCTATTATCAATCTCTCTAAAATAAATAAATTATTTTTTAATATGTATGGGTGTTTTGCCTGCATGTATACCTGCACCAAGTGCACGCCTGGTGTCCTTGGAGGCCAGAATAAGGTAGCAAATCCCCAGGAACCAGGGTTACAGATAGTTTCAAAATGGGTCCTGGAACTGAACCTGGGTTCTCTGGAAGAACAGCCAGTGGTCTTAACCAATGAGCCATCTTTCCAGCCCCAAGCTATTATCAATTTCTATCTCTGTTCTGTACTATATAGGAAGTTATACATGTCTAAGATACGATCAAATTATTAGCAGTGTTCTCAAGTAAAGGATAGAGCTAGGGAACTAATTTAAATGTGTATGTTTAGATTTCAGAAAAGAAAAAAAACTGAAAAAAATCTTAGAATTGAGAAAAAGGGGTATTGAAAAATGAGTTGAGACCCATACAAATCAACAACTTATATCCAGTATTTTTCCCTCTGTGATTTGGAAGTCAGAATCCTGCACATTGAAGTTATAGAAAACCCTAGGCATGAGGCCAAAGCATCCTTAACAGGTTGGACCTGTTAAGGATCTCAGTCAGTCCATTTCCCTCATCTGTTATGTAGAGGTAGCAGTGTCACTTCACCTCCTGAGATAGTTCTCAGTATTAAATATGATGGGAAAGGCCAGGCCAGAGGAAACTGTGCCATGTGGCATCATTGTTTACAAATTCTTACATTCTTCTTCAGGGGTTCAGTGTAGGTACCTGCCCAGTTTCTAAGATACAACCAGGTATCTTTACAGGGGGGCTAGGGGATAAGGTGATGGGGAGTAGAGGACACATGTGGGGAACAAGAGGTATTGAGTTTGGTCAGGCAGGGACCAGACCATAGTGTCCCATTCCAAGGATGAAGAACACTGTAGGTCAATCATCCCATGGGCCAAAGAGGACAATACACAAAGGGCAAACAGGGTGCCACTGGTCTAAAGAAAACTGCTCAGAATCTTCTGTAAGCCTTGTTTCTATGACAGCTTCATGAATTGGATGAAGGGACTGGAAAGATGGTTCAGAGTTTCAGTTCAAATTCAGCTGAATCCTCTTAGAGCCTGAATAAGCTCCTTCTATCTCCTGCTATCAGTTCCCTTCTTCTCTAGTAAAATGGGAACACTTCCCTTGCCACTGAGAACTTCCACAATGTCCTCGGCACAGTGCCTGGCAGAGACTCACTGGTTCTGCAAATTTGATAGTAACAGTGCTAATTATGTCTACTGTTTCTGCACAGGAACCAAGAAGGGCGGGATGCAAGCTCTGCTTTAGGAGACAGCCTAACTGCACAAGTGGAAGTTCAATTATGCCCTTTATGCCACACATATCTACTTTCAATGCTGGCTCTGTCACTCATGTCTGTATTGCCTTAGACTTGTGAGTGGATTTCTCTGGGACTTGATTTCTTCGGGAGTAAAACAGATTGTGGTGCTCACCTTGCAGAGCTATCACAGAAACTAAAAAGTATCAAGAGATTACCAATATTCTAGTTTCATGTGATGCTCAACAAACCACACATCTCTCAATAACAAGGCAAAGAAGGAAGAAGCCCCCAAATGCCTGATGTTCAGGCAGCAGGTGACCACCCAGGCTCCTAAGGGGAAGCTGCAGGCTCCTATGTCAGTCATGCCAAAGAGGTCACAGCTTGAAACCTCACTTTCTTATATTTAAAGATGTCCAGCCACCAGAAGAGACCCAACTGGCCCAGGATTGGTCCACAAACAGCCTATGAATGACCTAAGAACAGCTGTCAATAGAGAGGCAGCCACTGGCAGCCTTACAGAATATTTACCATGACCCTCAGAGTGGAACTTTCAAACCACTGTCTCTTCATAATGTGGGGAGCTGCAAAAGTGGACTAATTAAAACTAAAACTGGTTAAAATACTGAGAGAAAGTTTAATGTTAAAAAAGCATTAAGAAATGGGAATACCTTCAGAGTTACACCTATCACATTGATGGCATCCTTCACCTGAGGATGGCTGGCACACTGTGTAAGCTCTTCACAGATCCAAACCCCGAGGGAGCAAATGGCGATGCATCTTTCAAAAGAGAAGCAAAGGGAGGAAAACACTCATGAAATTCAATATATTTTAAAATGACAAAATAAATCTATTTAGTCAAAGAAGCAACAATTATAGACATACTAACAGAATATTTTCCTTGAGAGAAAAGGTAGAACTTCCAGTGGGCCAGTTTTCAGGATAAACAGAATCACCAATGCTAGTTAGTACTTAAATATTTCATGAAACAAGTGGCAGATTTCCTGTTAACTACCACAATCCATGTCACCCATTTTAATTGATTCTAAACTGTTATTACATTTTACTGTTAATTTTGAGGAGGAACAAAAGGCATGGATCTTAGATTATTGAAAATTCCCTTACAAAGTATACAGTATATACTTCAAATATAAGATAAACACTATATTTGATTTTAAAGTAACTTTCAAAATAAACACATTTTTACATTATTTCTTCTAAACATCAAGCTATATAAGCTATTCTTCAAAGAAATGTGACTTTCCATAAATAAAAAAAATAGGGGAAAGGAATTACAAAGATTATTTGATAGGCACCAGAAGATTTAAAAAAAATCATATATATCCCGAAAGACTTTGAGTTGAAAGCCTGAGTAAATATTTCCATGACATCTGAAGGACATCAGGCTTAATAGGGTAGGCGATGTCAGAAGGCACTAGAAGATTCAGTTATGGCTGTGTCACATTTGCATGTTAAGACAGCCGACTTGAAGTATTAAGTATGTAATTCAGTATCTAAGCCTGGCTATGCAAGAAATTCATTAAAAGGGCAGGTAAATAAACTGGAAATGATCAACAAGCATTTATATACTGACTGGAATTTGTGAGACATGCAGGAAGTCATGGGAAATGCTAGGCTCAGACCCAGTCCCTGGGTCACTTTAAGATGCAGAAGTTAGGCAGAGAAGGAACACTAGCACAGGGATCAGGAAAGGAGCAGTGGCCAGAGGAAAGTAGACTCTGTAGCAGAGGACAGGCATTGTTTAGAAGTGGGTACAGACTGACTTAAAAATCATAGTAAAATCTAGAACAACCTTTATGAGAACTAAATGGAAATCAAGCCAATTAAAAAAAAAAGCATAGATAAAGAGGAAAAAAGGTAGTAAACAAGAGAACTGCTTAGGAGTTCCAATTACAAGTAAAATATTAAATAAGATGAAAAAATACACCCAAAAGATCATTGGTAATAACAAATACAAATGAACTAAAGTCTCCATTAAAAGACAAACATCACACAAACTTATACAATCATAAAATCCAGATACAGCTTTTGGAAAGGCATTGTAAAAACAATACAGAAAAGCTATTTTGAAAAGATAAAAATTATTATATAGTATGAAATCAGGAGCAGGAAAAGTGGTTTCTAAAATAAAACAAACCATCCATAGAAATAAAAAGACCATATACACATAAACACATTTGACTCACTACAGAGAAAGGACAATTCCAAATGCCTATGCAACTAATAACATCATAGTGTTTGACAGAAATTCCAGGAAACAGATTAAGGTTTAACAGTGGAAAGCTTTTAACATACCTTTCAGCAAATGATCAAATTAATAAAAACAAAACAAACTCCAGAAGGAATGCAGAGTATGTGAAACACTGTCAGGTTACATCTAGAACAGTATACCTCACAATTAAAGAACAATGTGTGCATTTTCTTCTTCCTCCTTTGAATATAGTATTTTCCCTTTTTATTTTATATTTATGGGTATTTTGGCTGCATGTATATTTGTAGTGCCAAAGGAGGCTAGTGAATGTCACTGGGTCACCCGGGACTGGAGTTACAGATGATTGTGAGCTCCTATGTGGGTACTGGGATCCAAATCCAAGTCCTCTGTAACAACAGCAAGTGCTCTTAACCACTGAGCTATCTCTCCAGTCCCTATGCACATTCAAGAATATATGGGACATCTGCTAAAACTGACTACACATGGGGTCCTAAAGAAAATACTAACAACTTTAAATACAGTCATCATACACACATTTTGGTCTACACTGTAATCACTTGAGACAAAAAAAAAAAAAGATAGAAATAGAGGGTGTGGTGGAGAAGGGACAGTGGTTAAGAGCACCTGTTGCTATTGCAAAGGACCGGCATTCAGTTTCCAGCACCCACATGGTGCTCACATTCATGCATAACACTAGTTCTAGGCAAAACATTCATTCATATAAAATTAAAAAAATAGATAAGTTAAAAAAATTTTAAAGACAGAAATAACCATATATTTGGAAATTAATAAAAAATCCTCATGATCCCATGAAGGAATCATAATGCAAATTAGAAAAAAATGGAATTTAAAAATACTGCATATTAAAATTTACAAGGTTTGGAAAAGGTAGCCCCTAAAAGCATGTAGTCTTAAATGTTAAAGGAGAAAAGTTAAAAATACACCAAGTATGCATCTTTGAAAAGTAATAAAAGAATAACATCACAAGTAGAAGAGTATAAGAGCCCAAAGCTGAAAATAAAAACAAATATAGAGAAGTAAGCAAAGACGACAAATCTAACAAGACAAGCCTTACAACCAGAGAAATTCGGATATTTAACAGCAAAGATGAAATGAACAAATTCTTGGACACTTATGCTAGTGAGATCTACTAATGCATAAGGATAATAATCCTACTGCTGCAAAAGACATTCTGAGTGTGGAGAAGAAAGAACTCGTTACTTGTTTTGTGATCCCCTTGCCTAACATCCAAACAGGGTGAGGGCATGTTGGGAATGGAAAATTACAGACTTTGGATGTAATGTAACTTCCTGAACAAAATACTACCTAAACCAGAATCTATAAAACAAGATGAGGGTATCTCATACCCAAGTTTAGTTCAATGTTAGCAAATTGATAATTCACACGTAGGTTCTGAAAATGGCTGACTATGAAAACTGGACTAATCCATCTACTGAAGATAATGGAAGTTCAAAAAATACAAAAGCTAATAAACTTTAAAATCACGGAGAGTTCACAAGACAGTAAAGTTAGGGGCTTCTGTCTTCCCCATGTGCCTAAGGGCCAGGAAATGTGCTAATTGACAAAAAACAGTCAGAGGCTGAAAAGGCCTTATAAGGTTGGAAATTGAGTGAGAGATGGATGCTCTCAGCATTCCCAGCTTTGGCCTACACCTTGAGAGGAGAGGGAGGGATTTCATACCACACAGCTGACCTAGAAATTCTCCTATCTTGGTCACAGACTGTAGGAGTCTTAGATGCTTGGCAGAAACACCCAAATGTTTCTACACATTACCAGATCAGTTCAGGGTCTCTGCCTGAAACATACAGCTTTTATGAACTGTTGCTTCATCCCTCCATTTTCTGAAGACATCATTTATTTCTAATCTTGCATTTTCCTTGCATTATGTAGGACAGTGTTCTCCATCTTACTCTGCATCTTATTCTTCTCTCTAGTAATAGTGACATCATTAAGTAACTAAGCAGAGCATCTTTCTGACTTAATGCTTATTATACATTTCACTGCGGGTAGGAGAAATGGAAAGGATTTGTTTTTAAACATTAACTGTTTATACATAAATGTGCATCTTAAAATTCTATCATAGTTTACCTCTTGTTCATCATTTACCTTGCACATTCATTTGGTTCCTCGGTAGCATTCTTCAGTAAAATATTTATGAGGTAATGCTAAAAACACAAAATTCAGTAAATGAAAATTTGATGTCATTGTTGGTTTCCCGCATGTGCTGACCATGTCACAGGCACCCTGCAGCTAGCGAAAGGCCAGGGAGATGGGCATCCCTTCCTTCAGAAAGAACTTGGCTCACCTCAGCAAGTGCCTCCCTGGGTAACTGAGCCAACCTGCAGCACAGCATTTCTAGGGATCCAGTGGAAATCAAGCAAAGCAGCTGAGGGAGACTTCCAGATAGGAAAATCTCCATTTTATTTTGATTGGATTACACATTGCACATTGAATTATAGATTATAATCAGAGTTACAGATTGACTGACTGGTGCTGGGACTTTCTGTTTGCTTCAAATGTCAACTGAGGACAGAAAAAAAAATGCTTACTTTTATTCCCCAAGAAATAATTTGGAATTTCAGGTTATTAGTAGCATTTAATCAGGCCAGCAATGGGATTGAATACTTAGCTTATTGGAATTATTTCTTATAAATTCATTTGCTACACTAATGCAGCATAACTAAGCTAACAGAATTATTACAAATGATGATTCATTACATAATTATGATCCCTAGGAACAATAAACAGAAATAAAAAAAAAAAAACACCAGAGGAACAGAGCTATCAGGTCTAACTGCAATATGCTGTGAACGTGATACATTCACAGTTTATACAACTCACTTCTGAAAACAACTCTGAAGCTTTCAAGAGATACAGCAAATGTCAGGGGAAAGCAGATCAGTGCACAGAATGGAAGACACAGTGATGTAACTCCAGCCATAGATGCTAAACTCAATATTCAGTTATGTACCTTGACATCTTCGGTTCCTGTGATGACCTCACTCATTTCTGGCACTGACTGCAACAGAGGAATCTTGCGGTAGGTATTTGGGAAACAGACAAGGGATCCAAGGATTGTGAGAGCTTCTGAACGGGGCACCTGCACACGAGGAGGGAAACACCAAGTTTCTTTACATAAGCTGCAAGCTTGAAGAACATATTTTACTCTTTGTTCTGGTTTTGAGAGGGAATCTATTTTTCCTTCTAGATATGAAGCACTAAACTACTTATGGTTATTTTCCTGGTGGATGTTTAGACAAGAGAAGTTTGTCTAAATGAAAAAGCAAATTTCCAGGGAATGGAAAACATCTCAACATTTGATGTAAACAAGTGTTATGAAAACCGGTCTACAGACCAATTCAGAATTAGAAAGGCAAATGGCTCTGTCATGGCTGTTTAAAATCATTTCAGAGTTTGTGATCTAGACAGAGCAGGGAGAATGAGAGCAACCTTAACATTATTTTTCAAGTAAAAAGCAAGGGCATTCACAAGGAGGGGCATTGGAGGTCGTCATCCAAAGAGAGATGGGAGGAGAGTGATGCCAACTAGGAATGGAGCCATGACATCAGGGAGAAAGTCACTATGCATGCTTTTAGTTTTTAAATACGAAGGTTTGCAGTGACTACTTAAAGTTTGCTAAAGTCAGGCATGGTGAGTACTTTGGCTGATGACCTCCAAGGTACACACCCAGTGGATACCTCATCTCAATCTTATCTGACCTCAGAGGCATCTGATACTTCTCACAGCTCCCTTGCAGTAAGAGCATTTTTATCACACAGCTTCTGGGACACTTTCCAAAGAGACTGACAGTCTCCCTTGCTGGAACTGCCCATTTCCTTACCACCTAACTTTGGGGTACTGGCTGTAGATTTTGTCCTCTGCACTCACAGATCCATACTCAACCAAAGGGCGATCTGGACCCAGGGCTCCCTGCTGTGAGCTTCTATACAGTACTCCATGGTATGTGCACATCATGGTTTTTGTTCTGTTGCCAGTGGGTATTTGGATTGGTTCTAGCTTTGGCTGTTAAATATGACTGCTTGAGGAAGCTTCCAGATTTCTTTGGTGATTCGTTCCTGTACACACACTTCTTTCTCTCTTTAGTTGCCTGGGCAAGCAGGGATACCTCACATTCCTGATTAACTATGATACCAAAAAACTCTGGCTGAGCAGGTGTGTTCCATCCAAGTACCTCTCACCAGGTGCACAGCTTTAAACCTCACTGGAAAGCAATTCAAAGAATCATTATCTCCCTTATATAACTGTTATGTTCCTATTCTCTCTGTTTAAAACACCATTTGGGAAAGCTATTTTTTCTTCACCACTGAGGTATAACATATAAAATTACATTTAAGGCAGTGGTTCTCAACCTGTGGGTTATGACCTTTTTTGGGGGGGAGGTGCATACCAGATATTTACATTATAATTTGTAACAGTAGCAAAATTACAGTTATGAAGCAGCAACACATTAATTTTATGATTGGTGTCAACACAACATGAGGAACCGTATTGAAAGGGTCACGGCATTAGGAAGGTTGTGAAATACTAATCTAAGGGGTACAACATATGGAAGTCTATGTATATAGTTAAAAGCATACACACTGTAAAATGAAAGCTACAATTAAGCTTAATTAACCCATCTATCATCTCAGCCATCCTTTTCCATGGAGGAACACTCATTTCAAGTTTACCATACAATATTTTTAACTATGATCACCATTTTGCACAAAAGGTTTCAAAAACTTACCAAAACTTTCTACACTGACCAACATCACCCTATTTACTCCCCAGCCCTTAGCAAACACCAGACTACTCTTGTTTCTGTTTGTTTGGTTTTTAAGAGTTCACCTATCACAGAGATGATGCAGGGCCATGTCTGGCTTATTTCCCCGGGCAAAGTGGCCTCTGGGATCACTCATGTTGCCGAAGAGACGAGATTTCTCACACTGGAAGTTGTTACTCTAACTTGCTAACTGGGGAGAATGCTGCAGTGAGCATGAAAGGCAGCTCACCTTTCCATATGCAGATTCTACTTCCTTTGGCCATACATCTCAGTAGAATTATCGGATCACTTAATGGCTTTATTAATCTGTGGAATATTCCTTTACACTATGTGAATATATGTCACCGTGATTAGTTTAACAAAAGTTTAAAAAAAAAGCTAAATGGCAAGTAGCTAGGCAGGATGGGGGGGGGGGCGGAGGGCAGAGAGAATACTGGAAGAAGAAAGGCAGAGTTTGAGGGTTAAGAGCCAGATGCAGAAAAAGCAGCATAGAAAGCACATAGATGAGGTAAATTGAGCTTCAGGGCAGCACATGCATTAATGGGAATGGGTTAAGATATAAGAGCTAGCTAAAAACAAATCTAAGCTATCAGTTGAGCTTTCATAATTAATAAGGAGTCTCTTTGTGGTTATTTGGGAGCCAGCAGTCCTTATGTAAAAATCTTCCTACATTAATCTTTCAAGGTCATTCTATTTTCAACAACGGCTGTACTGATTTACATTCCCAAGAGTATACAAGGATTCCCTTTCCTCCATATTTTCAACAGCACTTATTTTCCTTTGTGATGACAGCAACTCTTAACAATGGAAATTATTATCTTGTGGTTTTACTTTGCATTTCTGGTTAAAAATGCTGAGCATTTTTTTATATGCCCATTGACCAATGTATGTTTGGAAGGTTACTTTAAATAGCTCATCTAGGCAAAAGATCCATGTCCACAGGGAGTTTACCATGTGTGGTGCTGTAGTATGTTCTACAGAAAAGCTCTTAGCAGGTAATAAAATTCTAAATAAGTACGATTCTTTTGCCTGTCTTGTAATTTTGTTACAGTGCTGACTTGTAGGGTTAACCCTCAATAAGAAGGTTCTTTGGGGATGATTTCCCCCAGTCCAGTAATAACACAGCAAAAAAAGTTGCCACATCTTTAAAAAAAAATTCAACATTTTCCTTCCTCTATTTTTCCCTTTTCTCAGTTTTCCCTTTTGTTCTTATCTCTTCCTTTCTCTTTATTTTCTAATTTAGCCTTATAAGAAGACATTAAGGCATAAAAATACTATTACAAATTATCAGTTTTATAAGTACTAAATCACCCAATGGAAAGTGAAAGATTAACCATGTATCAGACAAAATTCAGCATTGCAACTACTCACACTGACAAATACTCACACTGGCAAATACAGAATACTCATAGTCTTTACAGAGGTTGAGGGGTGGTGACTCACTAGATTAGTAGTTTGTACATAAAGCACAAGCGGGAAAGGCACTTTACACCTAAGTGGAAGTGCTGTCTCACAGTCCTGAGACACCGACTGAAGAGTGCAGGTAAAGAGGGTGGGAATAACTTCCTCTGTGGCCCACTTGCTTCTAATTTATTAGAAGAATGAGTACAATCCAGAGTTTTCCCACACATTAATAATAATAATATATACTCATTACTAATAAAAAGTTAGTGCTCTAATATTTTAAAGGCTAGAGTGTATCTCAGTAGTAGAATGTAAATTTAACATACAAGAGGCCCTGAATTTGATCCCAAGGACTACAGACTTCTATTTCTTTCTATGAGACTCACAGTAACCAAACTAAATTTAACAAAACAACAACACATTACTTTGAACATACACTTGAATTCTCTCTTTATGGCATTTATGTCCATAATGCCATTTACTGGCGAATACTAATAAGGGTCTGTAAGACAGGCCCTGTTTTCCTGTAAATGTGTTGACATATTAGTGGGGATATGATTTCTCACACTTTGGCCTTTTGATGAAACGCCTCTCCAGTACCAGTATGTCATCTTATCCTACAATTTCACAGATCAGCTGCCAGGGTATCTACTCTGAGAGCCCAGTTTCACATTGCACTAATGAGTCAACACCTGTTAGAGTGGAGAAATCTGAGCCTTGTTAGCAATTGTGAAGTCTCCCAGGAGCTGGGATACTGAACATTGTCATACTCACCAACAACATGTCTGCACTGAGGACCCTGGCAGCAGCAGTGATAAAGTCCCCCACCAGCATAGAGAAACCAGGCAAACCCAGGGAGAAAAAACGGGGTGAACAGTTTCTTATGATAGTATTTAAGACATCCTGGAAAGAAAAATAAGGAAACATAACTGTAATTTTAAGAACAAAATTCCCAAGTGGTTTCTTTGTGTACATCATGCATGACCACCATAAGATAACACAGCACAATGATAGTTCTCTCCTCCACCCTCCCCCCCAGACGGGGTTTCTCTGTGTAACTTTGGAGCCTGTCCTAAGTCTCACTCTGTAGACCAGGCTGGCCTCAAACTCACAAAGTTCTTCTGCCTCCGAGTGCTGGGCTTAAAGGCATGTGACACCACTGCTTGGCTACAATGATAGTTCTTTAAGCCAAAGAGTGCAGGGGGTGCCTAACTCCAATGGTTGCTGTATGTATCTCTTGTTAAGGGGAATGGAGACAACAAACTCTAAGATGACTTATCCAATGCCATCCTGTGGCATTGAGGCTTGCTAATCTGTCCTGTATCCCACCTGACAATGGGCTCCTTGGACAAGCTACAGGACTCCTGAGATAGACATATAAGTAAAATCTACCAACACCCATAAAATAAGAACTGGGCTCTGTCTTTAGTTTCAATCCCCAGAAGCTAAAGCACATTATTAGAGGATCTTATAGGCAAAGGGATGGAAGTTTCAGGCACTAAGAAATGGCAGTGTGGTCAGTGCTAAAATAATGCTCTTATATGCACGAGGCACTGAGGTCAGGCAGTTGCCACAGATCTGATGTGCATAGGAGGTGCAAACACAAAGCCAACAACAGCCATTTGCCAGAGCTCAGCATCAGGAGCATCTCCCAGCCAGCTCTCCATCCTGTAGCTATAATGGACTCCTGTGGAGGGCTGGCTGGCCCCCAACCCCCAGTCCCTCATTCCCGCCTGTGCCGGCTCAGATCCACCACAGGACAGTGTTCACACCATCATGGCCAGGCCCCCCTCTGAAGCCATCTGTGTGAGTGTGTGCATATATAAGTGGGATTAGAATGAAAACTACAATCTTCTTTTACACAGATTCTGGCTAGGCACATAAATCAAACCTACCACACTGAAGTACTTTAGTTATGTGATTTACCATTGTGCAACTGATAGTATCAATAACAAGTAAATAGCAAAACTTAAGAACCTTAGCTGTCAGTGTGGCCATCTGAATAAGCCCTTCAAAATAGTCCTGGCTTAACTATTAAATTAGAGCAAAGCATAGCAACATGCTAATTTCCAAAGTTATATTAAGCCTTTTGTAAGATTCACCTCATTTCACAATTTGTCTTCTTAAACACAACTTACATGTGCTCACAAAACATTTTCCCAAGACACTTTTCTTATAGCAGATTCATTTAATTTATATAAATAACACTATGTCTATGCTTCAAATGATCATAGAATAGTTAGTGTTCACATATGATAAGCAGTTTAGCTTAAAACTTAAAAGTTTTGCCATTTCAGTGGACTTTTTTTTACATAAAAAATGAACAGATAAACATGATTTACAGATGAAAGATGAGGCAGGTGGATAGACAGATAGATAGATAGACAGACAGATAGATAAATAGATGATAGATAGATAGATAGATATATAAAAGGAAGGAATGGAAGAAAAACCAGAACCAAGGTTTTTCCCCAGTTAATATTTAAGCCTGCTTTAATCATGTCCTGCGATACACTTTAGGGTGCCTATCAGCCAAGACAAACATTCTCTGGGCTGAGCAGATGGATGCTGCTAGTTAGAAAGTGTGTGGTAGACTTAGGCTCCAGTAGTGGAACAAAAGATCTACCTTTTTCATAATTAAGCCTCTGATTAATGCCCTGGGCTCCTCACCACACACCTGTAATTACTCACAGAGGTATGCATTGTGCTGGGGCCTTGTCTCAGAATATCAGGCATCAAGCTATCCAGCAGCAGATGGAAGCACATTTCTGTTGACATATGCTGCAATGAAAGGATTCGTGCAAACCTGGCTAGCAAGGTAGCAGAATGCCATGCATCTGAAGATTAATAATGCAAACAGCCATGATGTTAGCTTTGTTATGTTTGCGTTAATTCCATCTGTTGAGACGAGGAGCTAAAACCCTGAAGCCTATGGGTTTTTTAAATCTTTAGCACACTAAACTCAAATGAGCCATTTTTACCACTGGAATTTAGAATTTTGGTTTAAAGATGGTTTTCAGGAATAGGTTTTTAGGAATTAGGAACTGAATCATTTAGCAATCTGAAACGGTAATTTGTAAAACTTGCTTCACTGGTACATATGCATAAAGACCTAGAAAAAAAAACTACATTCAGAAGAAACTACAAAATTGTCACTGGTGCTAAAGACAGCAGATACACATGTAGTTGAGATAAAGTCAGAGGGCTCACCCAGTCCCTGGATCTGGGCCAGTGACTTCAACTGAACCTGCTTCTATGGGCAAAGAGATGGGAAAGAGAGGGACAATAACAGATGGCAAGCCTACCCTACTTGCCACCCACGTAAGGCAGAGCCTGGAGGGAAAGTGTGTCTCTGCTGTAGTCACCAAAGACAGCACTGGGGCAGGGTTAATGTGGGGGTTAAAGAGGGGGCCATATGACCAGTCAGCCAAATTACTGCCACATGCTGGCTTACTTTGCTTATCTACACTGAAATGGAGCAGTCCAAAGGGTCTATCTTTGAGATAACACTTTAAAATTAGGAATAGCCACATGGTACTCAGGAGAGCATCTGCCATCCATGTTCCCAACAGAGGGCCATGCACGGTGAGCTCCATTCACTCCTACTAGAGAAATCATTCTTTCACCCCACTTCTCCACCTCAAGGTATTAGGATCAATCTCTGGAAATACAAAACAAAGTCTTCTTGATTCTGATAGTTTATTCTCGGCCTACAGGGCTTTATATATGAACAAGACAAAATGGCAGTTACCATACACCCATCACTCAAGGAGCAGCTCTCAGGTCTTTGTAGTACCCTCCCTCTAAAACATGACTAGTCTAGTACGTGTTTTCAAACTGACTCACTTTTTCAAAACTTAAAAATTATACTGGAAAACACCCTTTGTCAGAAACAGAATATATTCCTTAAAACCAATATAATAAACAAGCAAATGATGCTGAATTTCTTACTAAAATATCACTAGCTGCCAGAAACTCTTAGTTTGAGACAGGCACCGTTCCTTTAAAACAGTGGTTTGCAATGCCACAGGACCCACCTCCACCTGGCCTGAGAATGTCATAAGAACAGATTGTGTTGGGAAAGGGGCTGTTATTCTCACTGAGAGATCCCTACTCTCAAGGGTGCTTCCACTATAACCACTGCTGGGAAATTTTCCTGTGTTCAAACTCTCTCTATGAAGAACCCTAGAACTGAGGCCACAAGGCCTGAGTTAGAGACTATGGGCCACCCCTGGAACAGCATATTTCTCTCTTCCCTAAGATGGGAAGGACACCTCCTTAATGAGCAGTAGGCACTAGGATGCAGATGTGAACAGTGTTGCCAGCAAACAGTGTTTTTCAAAAAGGAAGAATTTGTACTTCATAGAACTGACTTCTTAGGTTTAGTCCATATAATTTGTTGAATGAATGTTTAATGACCTGTAGAGGAAGGGTATTTCAAAACATTCCAGAGATAACATAGACAAGTCTCTTTGATCATATTAAATTAAAAAGCTCCAGCAACCAGTTCCCTAAAATAACCTCTTTAACAAGCAATTAGAGATCTTGTATATAACTTTAGGATAAAAAATGGAAGCAAAATCGGTATCTTTGGGTTCTTTAATGTTTATCCTTTTGAGGAATTCTAGATCCTACCTGAAACAAGTGAGTCTGGTAGCAAGAACTGGCTTTTTTCTATACATTCTAAACAGACTAAACAGGAAATTAAACTAAACAACAGGCTTAGTGGCAAATGGAGTCTGGAACAGGATTCAGGTTTATTCTTTTAAGTTGACTAGGACGGAGAAGACAAACTTTGTTTTTGCTGGAAAGAAACCACTCTTTGAACTGTTGCCACACAGTGAGCAGGACCCACAGTGGCATTTTCTCCTGTTTTAGTGTGTGCTCCATGTTGAGTGCTTTCAAAAGCTAAACTGTAAGATGATAATTGTGGCTTTGCAGCTTATCACAAGGTTCAGGCTTATGAGAAAGCGACTGGTGAGAACATCTGTCTCTTATCACTGATCTTGCAAAAAATCAGGTAATTCAAATAGAGGCGTGTTGTTTCCTCTCCTCCAAAGCACAGTTCTATAAACACAAACTACATCCAGCCCCTCAAATGAATCGCTTTAATTGAACGCTATGTACACAGTAACTGGAAAAACTATGAGTGATAAGGAAAGCATATGGTGACAGCAGCACAAATTGGCTTACTCATTCTGCACAGGGCTGCTTCTTTAGTTCTCATATAATTGACCTTTAGAATGATAAATGTGTAAAATAATTTTGTTTATTACAGCTCGAAACCTTCCAACAATTACACAAAATGAAAATTTAAAAGGAAGGATTCCTTCTGGAAGCATTTCCATTGTTTACATAATTGCACAGCTATAATTTCGTGCTTGTGTTGTTATGGAAAATAAAAAAAGGGCCATTACTGGCCATTTCAATTCAAAATATTGCACAGTAGTGTCAAAAATGGGGGCAAATGTTCACTTTACTACAGTTTAAAACGGATTAACCCTGTATAGCTAACACATCGGCATAGCATTCTTTGAAACACAAAAGTGTAGAAGTCGCCATCCTTCCTGTATTGGCGATGTGGCGGCTATGCTTTCACACCAATCACATGTATATTTTTCACTTAATATTTGCTCATGACCTAGCAGATAATGGCTGTAACACAATAGCCAGCCATCTGTCTCCCTGCCTTTCCTTGGAGGACTTCTGCCTGCTTCTCCAGAGCAAACAGATCTGGTTATCCCACCTAAAGTCACTGAGGTCCTCTGTGAGGCTAAGCAGTCATTAAGAAATAAAATCTGTGTGTGCAAAATCATTTAGCTCCTCATTTGGCTTTTCCTTTTAAGAAATGCTACACATTAAAATGATTTCATTGCTACTTTCCAGGGTGCCTATCTTTTTTT